GCCCTGGGCCCTGCCGCCCGTGCCTTGCCGCACCTGGCCTTCCAGGCTGGAAGCCGAAGCTGAAACTGGAAACTGTGGGGAAGCCCCGTGCGGGCGGCTGGCCTGGCTGGCCCATTGTGCGCCTGTCCCTGGCTGGGATCAAAGCCAGGGGCCCAGGCCTGCTGTGTCCCCACCCTGCCTCCAGGACAAGGACTTGAGGCAGGACAGCCATAGTTCGGGGGTCAGAGGTGTGGTGGGGGTGTCGGTCTGACCTCTCCACTGAGGCAACCTCCGAAGGAGGTCCCTGCACTCGGTGGGAGGGTGCTTGACTGCCCCCTCACACTCCAAATTGGGGACCACTGGGACCAAAGGGGTGGGGCGGTTGGGTCTTGTTCCCGCCCCCCACCGCACCCCCAGTGGTACACAGCCCTCTGCCCCCAGGGGACCTACATCCTGCAAGACAACGACTTCCCGCTCCTGGTCCGGATGGCTGCGGGGCCGCAGTACCTGGAGGAGGCACCCAAGGTATAGGGGATGGGTGCCTCAAAGCCTGAGCCCTGGGGGATCCCTGCCCTCTTCCCACGGTCACCCCTCCCCCCAGTTCCTGGCCTTCACCTGCGGCCTCCTGCGCGGCACCCTCAGCACCCTGGGCATCAAGAGCCTGGTCACCGCCTCTGTGACAACGCTGCCCGCCTGTGAGTCCCTGGGGGTAAGGGAGGCTGTGTGCATGCATGCGTGCATCTGCCGGGCCATCTCTACTCTGGGTGAGGAGCGGGTGCGCGTGTATGTGTTTGCTTACATCTGTCTGCCAAGCCCCCTCGATGCAGGGTGAGGGGCGCACGGGCGCCCATGTTTGCCCGTGCGTGCATGAGCCCTGCTACCCTGTGGATGAGAAGCGTGCATGCTGCATGCGTGCATGGGTTTATCTGCCAAGCTTGCTGCACTAAGATTGAGGCACTAAAGGCCGAGACCTGGGGGTCGGCGGCCAGGCCAACCCAACCTCCAGACACCCTGTGGCAGGGTGGGGGGAAGAGATGAAACCTGATTGGCCCCCAGGTGCAGCTCACTGAGCTCGCCCTGCTGATTAATGATCTCGGGGCCTACCCTGCAGGATGCCCTAGACCAGTGGAGCTCCTAGGCCCCCTCGGCCCTACGTAGAGGGTCCGGCTCCTATGGGTAGCAGCCCCCCATTCCTCCGCTATCTTTTCTCCCCCAGGCCCCTGACCAGCCACTGGGGGACCCCAGGGGTCCAAGGAGTGACCCATGCCTAGAGGGCTGACCCATGGCCCCTGGGTGCCCAGGTGACCACGGCGGGCGGGAGGAGGGCATGTCTGACCAAGGAAGCCACAGGGGTGCCTGTGCCGGGCAGGATAAGCATCTGCAGGCTGCCCTGACCCATTGCGTGCGTGCGCGTGTCTGGGTCTGAGCACTGGCTCATCTCTTGCAGGTAAGTTCCAGGTGGTGATCCAGAGGGCCTGATGGACCCCACCCTCAGCTGAGCGTCACCAATGCACCCCTAATAAAATGCCACGCCCCACCCCAGCCTCACTTCTGCTGTCCCTGCAACAGGGCCCCAACCAAACCTCACCGCTTCCCCCTGACAACCAGTTCCCAAGAAAGAACCAGAGGCTTAGGATCTGGGGGTGGCTGATTTTGGGGGTGGTCACAGGCCTGGTGTTGGGTGCCCAGCACAAGGGGGAACCTCACAAGGATGCCTGGGGGGCGGGGTGTCACTCGGGCAGGTGACAGATATCCAAATAAAGGCAGAAGGAAGAAGTTGGGATGTGTGTCTGTGAAGCCACTGTTGTGTCATGGGGTCTGTGGGGGAGGGGAGCAGACCACCTGCATGGTAACCCCCAGGCCTGAGCCCGCCCCTTGCTCTTGCACACCTGGTAGGGCAGATCCCACCACACTGGGGTCCCTGTCTCTGTCATTGACAGGTCCTGGGCCTGCCCTTGGGAGCAGGCTGGGAGGACATACCTCCTCCTGGCTTGGCAGACTCTGCTCCCATAGTAGCCCAGCTGGCCACCTGCTGGGGTGGGAGGGAGCCCCAGGTGGGACATGGAAGGACTCCCCATTTTGGATAACCCCACCGGGGTCTCCTCCGGGTCCACGGTGGAGTCGCAGGCCTGCTCCTGAACTCCTGCCCTTGCAGCAGCAGCAGCAGGCCCGCCCCCTGTGCCCAGAACAACACTCTAGGCAGTTAGTCACTTACTCTGGATGCTCCCAAGCAGTCTCCAGGGGGACACCTGTTTAAGCAAGCACACTTCCTCCTGTGCCTGAGCCCGGGCAGCTGCCTCCTGCGTGAACCACAGTTCCTCAGTGGAGACACTGCTGTTGGGTGGAGGATGCCAGATGCCTCACTGCCTCCCCTGGGTCTGAACCACTGGGGGCTCCCGGTGGTTCACAAGGGGATGGGAGGAAGGCTTCCTAGTGGAGGGGGTGAGGCTATAATGGCTCCAAGAGCAGTGACTGGTCACTCAGGTCAGCTTTGGGGACTTGCTGTAAGGATGAGTTCCTGTTCTAGCCAAAAGACACCTGCCAACCCTGATGGCAGCTGACCATCCAGTCCCCCTCCAGCCCCAGGGAACGCACAGGTGCCAGTGCCCCGCTGGCCCTCATTTCGGGATGCTGTCTGCCTTGACGGCCCAGATTCAAACGACCACCACCACACGCAGCCTGTCTCCTCCTGCATGAATTGGGGGTGGGGAGGGGTTGGACGAGGGGTTCTCAGGAGTCAGGTATCTGGCACCAGGTCTGAAGAAGTGGGTCAGTGGGACCCAGCCAGTGCTGACATCAAAGCCACCTGCCCCTGATCCTGACAAGCAGGAGAGGAAGGTGCCTGCCCACTCAGCAATGAGGAAGCCGAGGCTCAGAGAGGTGAAGTCACCTGCCTAACGTCACACAGCTGGGCCAGGACGGAACTGCCATCGCACCCAGGACCAGTGCCTCTCAGTGCCCTTCCCATGGCAGAAAGGCCCAAGCAGGCCGGCCACAGCAGGCCGGGAGCCGCTGGCTTCAGTGAGGACGGACCGACATCCCATCTGTCCCTCGCCAGGTGCGGAATCCTGGAGAGCTAGGGGGCGGGGCCGGCGGGGCGGGGCGGGGCCAGAGGGCAGACCGACAGGTCCGGTGGCTTCTGGGCTTCACAGCGAGGCCGGCGCCCACAGCCTGTCAGTCGCCGGCGCTGGCACAGCAGCTCGGCCGCCCGCCGGGCAGGGAGCTGGGGCCCGCGAGGCCACCACCAGGTATTGGGGGCTGGGGGGGCGGGCTGGGGGAAGCAGCGGGGTGGTAGGTGGGCCACGAGGCAGATTTGAGGTGAGCTCCAGTTGGCGCCGCCCCATCGCCTCTGTCCCCAGCTTCCCGTCCCTGTCCCGGTACCTCCCACGCCCACCCCCAGTCCCCCCAAGCATCCTTTTCTCTCTCTTTCAGTTCTTTTCCCAGGATGCCCCAGCCCACCCCTGTTTGCTGATCCTCCCCCGACATCGGACCCCGCCAATTTGCTTCCGTCCCTCATGGCTCCAAACCCTTATCCAGACTCCAAACCTGCCGACTCTGAATGTCAGGCACCCCGACTTGGGCTGTTGCCCAAGTCTTGCCGCGTAGTTTCACATGTCCCTTCAAAACCCCTGGCCGCCTCACCCCCTACCCGGCTGCAGGTGTTCTTTTAAGCATGGGAAGGGGCGCTGTTCCTAACCCAGAGTTGGCTCAGCCCTCCCCACCCAGGGGCACCCCAAATACCCAGCCCCTGGGGGCCTCACCCCCATTGGAATCAGCCCCTAATCCCTCTCCTCCCCGATCCTGGTCCCTCACACTCTGAGCAGCACCCCCTCGCCCCCTAAAATGCCCCAGGGATGAATGTTGGGGAGACAGGACCCCCCTCCCCCACCCAAGGTCATGTGGAGCTGTCCCAGGAGCTGGGGGAGGGCCCTTATTTCAGATCACCGCTGGGTACTGGGCACTGAGCTGTCTACACTCCCCTTGTGCCTGCCCCCCAGGAGCGGCCTCGGAAGTCCCTTGCTGGCCACCATGCAGAAGCACTACAACGTCCACTTCCCCAAGGGTGCCCGGCCCCCCCGCATCCCCACAGAGCGCTACTTCATGGACCCGGAGTTGGGGCACCAAGGAGGTAGGACCTCAGTTGGGGTGGGGGGTCCCAGTGGGAGGGAGGCCTGTGGGTGGGTGTTATATAAGGGGAACCCTGGATCCCAGGAGAGAGACCACCACTCCCCTGAAAGGCATCTGCACAGTGGGGCCTAGGGGGACCCCGGAACCTGGAGGGGCAAAATACGGGCCTCAGCTGGGTGCCCCTCTCCCCAGCTTTTCCTTCCCCCAGTGTGGGGACAATTCCCTTCTCAAGTATCCCACCGCCTGTGAAGACAATGCCCAACTTAGGGGGTGCTGAGGAGGGGGCACTGGAGCCCTCCGTGAGTGCAGATGAATGAGTGGGGGTCAGCTTCCAGAGTGCCTACAGCTGACCTGCACAGGGGCGTACAGGGCATATATGCCCCGACTCCCACCCCACCCCACCCCCTCCCCCACCATGGCTGATTCAGCCTTCTCAGCCTGGACCCCCTGGGTGGGCACCTCTTCACCTGGCCTGTCCCCTCTACCACCACCTCCGGACCAACAGAGCCAGCTTCCTGAGGGGGGAGTGGTCATCTTAGTCCCCCTGTGCACACTCCACAGAGCCAGGAACCTAGGAGAGAATGGCCCCTCCAGGCCCCTGCCTGTCTGCAATCGGCCCCTCACCTTCCCTGCCACTGTCCTGGCCAAGGGAAAGCTGGCCCCTGCCCCCCCCTCCTCTCCCCACTTCCCCCAGGGTGCCCCCACAATGCTGAAGCCCCAGCTTCCATGAGAAGACTGAACCGGGTTCGCACCTAGTGCCCCCACCCAGGGACCCAGGCCCAGTCACCCCACTTCCTTCCTTCCAGGATTTTGTCACCAGTGGTGCCGTGTCCCAGCAGCCCCTCAAGCCCACGGGCCTTGCCAGCCGATCCCCCAGCCTCAATGGCAGCTGGCCTGCCATGGCCCGCGGGGAGGCTTCGGCGGCAGCTGGCACTGGTACCCCCAGCCCCCCATCCAGCAGCAGCAGCAGCGCCAACTGCAGCCCCCACCCAGAAGCCCCCTGCGGCAGCGGCTCTGCCCCATCCACGGGGCTCCGAGGGGGCTGCCCACAGCCACCACTGCCCTCACAGGCCCAGCCAGCGCCCCCCAGCCACCCCCTGCACCCATCTCCTCATCCAGCGGCGCACCTGCCACCTCACCCAGCGGCGCACCTGCCGTGGCCAGCAGCAGCCCAGCCCCACCCTCGGCAGCCGGCACCCTCCTGGAGCCCAGCGCGCCCACTGACGCCCGGCCCCTGCCCGCCCCTGCAGCCTGCGGCTCCTTCACCTCCTACAACTCCGGTGCTGCCCCCACCATCATGGGGCTGTGTCCCCAGCTCCGCCCCTCGCTGCCCACCTGGGCCTCTTGCTCCCTGGCTAGCTCCTTGAGCCTGCCTCCCTCCTTCTGCCTTAGCGGGGGTCCTGCCCCAGGCCACCCCCCTCCTCCTCTGCCTTAGCTTTCACCATCAGGGCTTCGGGCTGGCCTGCAGGTGGCTCAGGCAGGGCTAGGAGTGCACTGCAGACCTGCTGCTGTGTCTGCCTCTGCTCTTGTGCCGGCCCTGCCTCTCCTGGCCCAGCAGGCCCCAGGGGACAGGGCAGGGTGTCAGCGCCAGCTTGTTGGCCAGCTCTGTTTTGGGGACACGGAGCAAATGTGCAGCTGTAGCAGGAGGTAGGGGGTGTCTGGGGGATGGGGGAGGGAGCAGTGTAGATGAGGCCCACCCACTCACTTGTTCATTCATCCCTTCATTCCTTCACCTACCCACTTACTTATCAGTTCATTCACTTCATTTGCATGTTCATTCACACATTCATTCATTTATTCGGGACTCATTCACCAATTCACCTATTAATTAATCGGCTTAGTTCACTCATTCATTAATTCCTCCACAGACTCACTCATCTCCCCATTTATTCATTCATCCACTTCATTTGCTCATTCACTCATTCACACACATTCATTCAGGACTCATTCACCTGCTCAGTTATTCACTCCTCTCCTTAATTTAGTTCATACACTTATTCATTCTTCCACTGGCCTCATTCACCAACCCACTTAGTCACTCATTCACTCATACATTCATTCATTCACAGACTCAGTCACCTACCCACTACTCCATTCATCCACTCATTCATTCCGTTGTTCACTCACTCACCCTCCTACTCCACAAAAAAGCAGTGGACACCTGTAGCAGTCCAGCCCACCCTCCTGGAGTTCACTCGCTCCTGGGCTAAGGGCAGGCACAACAAAGCCACAAGCCCGAGTAGCCTGGGAATGGCCACTCGGAGAGGGGCTGTGCCCAGAGGGAGGTGGCATATTTGGCTCTGCAAGTTAAACAAGGTGATGAGGGCACGTCCAGGCCACGCTCTGGACAGCAGGGTCAGCCAGTGTTGACTCCGGTAGCAGGTATGGCATGGAGGGGGACAGCCAGTGTGGCTGCAGAGGCCCAAGAAGACATCCAGGCCTGGTGACCAGGGTAAGGCCACAGCGGCCACCCTGGATGAGGGGAAGCCCTGGGAGGCTGGGAGCCAGGGGGAGCTGGAGCTGATGGGAGATCTTGTGGGAGACAGCACAGGTGTCAAGTACGGGAGATCAGTGAAGGGGCAATGCAGGACAGGACAGCACACAGCCCGGGGTGTGGGTGGCCGGGTCGGATGCAGGCTGGTTACTAGGGCCCGTTTTGAAAGTAGACCAAGAGTTAAGCAGGGACTCGGGTTCTGGGCCCTGGCCTGGCCATTTCCTGGAGCTTCTTGGCCAAGATGCCCATTCTACACATGGGGAAGTGGAGGCTTAGCCAGTGTGAGGTCCGCCTCGCCTGCCCACTCCGACATCCCTGTCCTTTTCCTGCCCTTTTTTGGAGCCCCGGGGCCTGGCTTCTTCCCTCCATGGGGGGGGCAAGCTGGGGCCCACCTGACTCTATGAGAGTAGGTATGCTACCCATCCCCCTTCCCCACACACACCTGGGGGCCCACAGAGCCAGGATGCCAAGCCGGATCTACACACTTAATAGCCATTCAAGATGGCAGCACTGACTGAGAGCTTCAGGTTAGCATCAGCTTGCTAACCAAGAGGTTGGCAGTTCAAACCCACCAGCCGCTCCAGCAGATTGACCGCCTCAGAAAGCCACAGAGGACCCTGGGCCCCACCCACACTTGAGCTATGCTAGGGGAGCAGGCAGGAGCTGGGGTGAGGAGGGGATGCTGGGGGGTGGAAAGTTGTACCTTAAGCATTCAGGGCCTTATGTCCCATCAAGGCTGGAGGTCAAGCTTGCCTTCTGGGATCAGGGAAGCCAGTTCCCACAGTCTCTGGGCCAGGCTGGGGCAGTCTAGCCCTTCCCCTCAGACTCTGACTGGCAGACCTAGCCCTGGAGAAGGAGACTGCCCATGTCCACATAAAGCACCCAGTCAGAGGGCCTGGCCTGCATCATCGCACGTGGGGCACAGGGCTTGGGGGCGCTGGTGCAGGAAAGGGCTGAAGGCCCACGCAAGCGGAGGGCGGGCAAGCAGGGAGGAGGGGTGGCGGGTTGGTGCCCAGCAGCCTCGCTGACTCAGTTTCCCCTGCTCCGGCCCCTAGACATTCTGACTGAGGATGATGTCTACTGCAGCTGCCTGGCTAAGACCCTGTGCCACGTGCCCGTGCCCGTGACAGTGGGCTTCTATGCCCCCTTTGGCTGCCGCCTGCACATGATGCTGGACAAGATCACCTGTGAGGCTCTGGGGGGTTGGAGGGGGAGGGGGGCTGGGTAGGGAAGGGGGAAGCCCAGCCTGGCCCACCTCAAACCCCCCCCCCCACCCCCACACAGCCCAACTCAGCCCTGACCAGATAGATCCCTCCCAGGCTTCCTCATCCCCCGCCTGGCCGCGACCAATGCACATCTTCCCTGGCTTGGAAGCCCTCCATGGCTCCCTGCATGGCCCTTGGGCTCCCCCATTGAAACTGCAGGCTCCTACCCAGAAGACCTCAGTTGGTCAGAGTGGTGTTCGGGGAAGAAACTGGACAAAGCTGGTCAGATCCCAAACCCCGCCTAAGCTCAGACTCTAGTGTGGACACCTCCCCCCACCCCCCACCCCGCCCCCCTGCGGCTAGCTGACCTGCCGCCATTCCGTCTGGCTCAGCAGGCCCCGGGCCGGTTATAGAGGCATAGCTTCCCCAGAGAAGGAGGCGTAGTGGGTTACACATGGGGCTGCTGACTGACAAGTCGGCGGTTCGAAACCACCACGGGGCTCTCTACTCCCATAAAGCCCCTCCGTCTTGGGAACAAACCGAGCGGGGCAGTTCGACGCCCGGAGTCGGCATTGACTCGATGGCGGTGAGTTTAGAGCAGAGCTTAGGTAGGGAGGAAAACAGAATAGAATGACACGTGGAACACCTGCCCGGTGACTCCCAACATTCCTGGTGCCAAGAGGAGGTGAGCCACTGATCCAGTCAGCAAGCACGACACCCCCGCCACGTGTGGAGGCAGCTGTCCTCAAGCTCCCAGTCTAGCAGGGGTGGGGAGACAGACAGGAGGGCGTCTGATTTCACCATCCCCCGCCCCACCCCCCAGGGGAATCCAGAAGGGTCTCCAGGCGGAGGGGAGAGCGGAGACCTGTAGAGAAACTGCACGCCAGGAAAGACAGACTCCTCTCCGACCTGATCTCATTCATTCTTTGGCCTTGGGAAGCTCTGGGTCCCACCCTCCTCACGTGGCCGCTGGGGACTTCTGGACTGACCTCTCCCGCTGGCCCCGCCCTCGCCGCTCACGCCCCTCTCCTCCCCCCTCCCCCGCAGCGCTGATGCAGCAGGAGGCGGTGCAGCGCGAGCTGGAGGAGCTGCAGCACGTGAGCTGGCGGCCGCGGTCAGTGCGCGGCTGGGGCTTCCCGCAGCTGCTCTGGTACCTGGTCTTCCTGCAGCCCATCATCACCGAGGTGCACCTGCGGCGCAAGAACGTGCAGTTCCTCTTCGTCCGCTTCAGCGCCTGGCAGTACGCGGGCACCGACAAGCTGTGGGCCGGCCTGGTGACCACGCTGTGCGAGGGCATCCGCCACCACTACGGTGCGCTGCCCTTCAGCGTGTACTCGGTGATGAGCAACAAGCCGGGCACGTCGCCGGGCTTCTGCCAGCGCGAGTGGCACTGCCGGCGCCGCGTGTGCCTGGGGCTGGTGGCGCTGCTGGCGGCGCTCGGCTTGGGCCTGGGCCTGCTCTACCTGTCCATGGGCGGCCACGCGCTGGGCCACGCGGGCCCCAGCGGCAAGGTGCTCAAGGTCTTCGGCGGCGCGGCCACCACGCTGTCGGGCTCCGGGCTGCTCATGGCGGTGTACTCGGTGGGCAAACACCTGTTCGTCAGCCAGCGCAAGAAGATCGAGCGGCTAGTGTCGCGCGAGAAGTTCGGCAGCCAGCTGGGCTTCATGTGCGAGGTGAAGAAGGAGGTGGAGCTGCTCACGGACTACCTGTGCTTCCTGGAGATCTTCCAGCGGCGCCGGCTGCGGATCGTGCTCGAGGTCACCGGGCTGGACACGTGCTATCCGGAGCGCGTGGTGGGCGTGCTCAACGCCATCAACACCCTGCTGTCCGACAGCCACGCCCCCTTCATCTTCATCCTGGTGGTGGACCCCAGCATCCTGGCCTCGTGCCTGGAGAGCGCCGGCAACATGAAGGGCACAGCGGACAATGGCTACCTCTTCCTCAACCGCACGGTCACGCTGCCCTTCTCCGTGCCCATTATGGGCCGGCGCACCAAGCTGCAGTTCCTGCACGACGCCGTGCAGAGCCGCGACGACCTGCTCTATCGCGAGATGACGCGCAAGCTGCGGCCGCCGTCGGGCGGCACCCAGGACAACGGCGAGGGCGCAGAGGGCGCGCAGCTGCTGGCCGTGGAGATGCAGGCGAGCGCCGAGCGCGCGCAGGGCCGTATCGACGCCGAGGCCACGCGCCGCATCCAGGAGGCGCTGCTGTGCTTGCACGACGAGCACGACTGCCTCTACGAGTACGTGCCCGACAACGTGGTGTCCATGCGGCGCATCGTCAACACCGTGCCCATCACCGTGCGCCTGCTGCAGCAGCAGCAGGGAGACTTCGGCGTTGGCCCCACGCCGCGCCAGGCCGTGGCCTGGGTGGTGCTGGCCAACCAGTGGCCGTGCCGCCTCAGCTGGGTGCTGCAGTGCTTGGAGGACCGGCAGCAGGCTGGGGGCGCGCCTGAGGGGGGCGCGCGCCTCTGGGACGTGTTCTGCGACAACAGTCGCGAGCTGCACACGATGACCAAGGCGCTGCAGAATGTGCTCGACCTGGACGGCGACCCAGAGCTCTTTGAGCGCTTCCTGGACAGCGACTTCCCCTTCATGGTGGCCGAAGCGCAGAGCCTGCTGCGCTGCACCGTCAACCTGGACCATTCCATCCGCCGCCGCATGGGCCTCATCCGGGCTGTCAGCACGCTCAAGCCACCCACCCCGCCCAGGTCCCCGGCCCGGGAGAACCCCCACAGCACCAACGCCGCCGCCACTCATGGGGCGCTCCCTTCTGGCCATCCTAACCAGGCTAATCGCGCCTCCCATTCGGCCCCTACACAGCCGGAGGAGGCAGGCCATGCTTCCAGGCGGACTAGCAATGCCTCCCCGCCCAGAGACTGTGCAAAAGGGGGGAAGCCAAGGCACATGGTCTGAGCACCAGCTCCCCCCAAGTGGGCTCGGCCCAAGTGAACCTGGAAAACAGTCGTCCAGGCAGCTACAGCAGCAGCTGTCTGCCCAGACGTGGGCCACGGGGACCCGCGAGGGCCCCAGGCTCAGGGAGCACTGTCCTCGAGTGAGGCCTGGGTGGCAGCAGCCCAGTGGCGCGGAGGCGGGAGCAGGTCAGGACCAGTGAGGAACTCGGGGTTCAAGTGCAATAAATGACAATGTGCAAGCCCCATGGACTGCTCTTTCTGTCCTGGCCGCCTGGCCTGGTGAGGAGCTAGGCCTGCCCTATCCTGCCAAGCCACGCCCACTCAACGCTGCCAGGCTGACAGCCCTGGTGGAGTGGTCACAGGGGCCGTGGGCGAGGTAGAGGAAATGGGAGAGGGCTGTGCTGGGCTGACTCAGGTAAAGAAGAGCGCCCAGGCCGCAGGGAATCCAGGTCCCTGTCCCCACGCATTTCAGGCCGCCCCACCCTCTGCAGCATTCTAGGGTAATGAGGCAGCTCTGCCAGCCTTGGTCAGTGGGTGGCCAGGACAGTTAGTTCTCAGGAGGAGGCCGTGCCACTCACTGACCAAGGTTTGTCACTGACCAGACTCGAGATGGGTCACCTGGGAGCTGGACTGGGGCTTCATCCACTCCATCCCTCCCTCCCCACAGGGGCTGGAGACCCGGGAGGTGGCACTCCGGGACTTGTCAGGGCCCTTGCTGGTCAGATATTCAGCCGCTGCCAGTGGGGGCCACGGGGAACAGATGTTGTGTAACCAGGTGAGGCAGTGAATTCTGAGCCAGGGCTGAGGGCGAATGGGGCGGTTCTAATAGGACTGTGCAACCCCTGGCTTGGCCAAAGCCCCATGTGGTCAGGTGAGGATCCAGTGCCCAACCCCTTGGCCACAATGCCCCAGAAGCCAGCCTGGCATGTCAGGGGTGCTGTCAGGAGAGAAATGCCATTTTCTCAGTCCCCGGAAGAGGTGCTCCTTTGTAAAGGGAAGCACCTCATGGCCCCCCAAACTGGGCTCCCATACAGGAAAGACAGGATAGCCCGGAGCCCTGCTGACCACAGGGTCCCTAGGAGGTCAGAGCCGACTCACTGGCCCCTACGATATGGCTAGGCTGTTCGGGAGGAGCCTGGCTTACAGGGTGCTGTGCCCCCAACCACAGGAAGGAGGCTGTACAGAGCTCCCTGCCCTTCAGCTTCTACCTGTCCGGGTTGTTTCTCTCACACTAAGTCCAGGTGGGAGGTAGAGCTGGCGCCAGGTGTGGGGCATTTTGAGCCAGACCAACCTGGGGGCTTGGCTGGAGGCGGGGCTGGAGTCAGGAGCCCCAAGCCCCTTCACAAGGGCACAGAGTGTTCCGGGTTTCTGAGACTAGCTCTAGGCATTTACAGCTATTTCCCAAAGGGCGACACTGCCCCCTAGGGGGCGCTGGGAAAATCCGGGCGGCAAAAGCAGACATCTACACTCTAGCCAGGATTATGGGTTACAGGACTAGTTTACAGAGGGCACTGAGTCTTTGTGAAAAGGGGCAGTAAGCAAAGGTGATTTGGGAACGTATGGTTTAGGACATGGGAACTCTCTCGACCGGGCCTGTGTGCCCCTGGCTGCAGTATCACATGGCTTAACTGCAGGCTGGTTCCCAGTGTCTTGCACAGGCCCATGGGATACAGGGGACCCCAGAGCCACAGGAAGGCAAGGCCTGGGTCCTCAGTCACAGTGGGGGACAGCTACTGCCGCCCCTGACGCCCCCCATGTCCCATCAAGGCAGGAGGTCCATGGGGACTTGGGGCGGGCTCAGACGTGTGACGGAAACTCCTGTGCTTCTGTGTGGGCCGCCCCCCGTGAAGCACGGGGCCCCACGTGTCTCGGCAGCCCCTCCCTCAAAGGGAAGGGTGTGCAAAGGGGTGAGCTGGAGACTACCAGCCTGTCTCTGGGTGCCCCTCGGGTGGGGGCTGGTGGCGAACTGCTCACCTTTCAGGCAATAGCTGAGAGCTGAACTGATTGCACTACCAGGGCGGCTGTGGTTGAAGGGGAGGGACAGACACGGCTGCAGCCACAGGGCTCCCTCCTGCCTCCAGCCGGCAGCCCAGGACCCACAGCCCAGGGGTTCCCGCTGCTGCGGAGGAGCCTGTGGCTGCAGGAAGGGCAGCGGGACTAGGGGCCAAGGATGCCTCACCTCAGAGCCCCGCGCCTGCTCACACGCAGGCTGCATTCCCAGCCTCTGGCTTGCCTGGAGTTGGCTGCAGAGAGCAGGGGGTCTGCGGCCTCTGCCCTGCTAAGGCCCAGAAACCCTTGAGGTATAGGTTCCCAACTGTAGGCCTGTGATTTTTGAGCACTTTGGGGGGAGAGGGAGAGTGTGTGTGTGTGTTCCCTCCACCTTGGCTCACCCTGGCTGAACGCCGGTACCCCACAACCCCAAACTTCTCTAAATGGTATGTAACAGGTTGTCTTAGAGGCTTGGGGAGCAAACCAGGTTCACATCTGTTCGGGGACTGAGCAAGCTCAGGCCCCCTCCCTCCCAGTCCTGCTCTACTGCCCGGGACACCAGCCTCACCCCACCCCCACCCCCACAGGTCAGACAGGCCCTCTCTTGAGGGCCTGGGAGGTGTTAATGCACCACAAGGAATGTGCTCAGAGGGGAACTACTTGGGGAGGAACTACTTGGGGAGGACCCCGGGGCGGGGGCAGCAGGTACCCCTGGCCTTCATCTCCAACTCCCAGTTTCCTCTGGGAGTACAGGCAGGCGGCCAGGCCTGAGGCCCAAAGTCAACAGGCGACAGGCAGACGGTGAACCCAGGTCTGGTTTATTAGAAAAGGTGTGAACAGAGGTGCACCAACAGGAGCAGTCCCCTCCCCCCACCTCGCCCTCCCCCCACCCCTGGTTGTAGTGCCTCTTGGGGGCGCAGCCTCTGGCGGCCTGGGCAGCAGGGTCCCCAGACCCCCGGGTGCCCTCCGCCCCAGCTCCCTGATAGATTTATTGCACTTAAGAAAAAGC